ATGCATTATTAAAACCAAACGTTGTATCTGATCATATTATTTAATAAACCTAAACTACCAATTACATTTTGTTTTAATTAACTAATGTTAACAAAGAATTATAAATACTGCAACAAATGTATTGCTTATTGTTTGCAACTTTACAGATCTTCTTTATGCACCAAGAGCTTGTTACACTCCAAAGAGAAAGGAAAAATTGAAATCGCATCATATGACCCCTTTAATAAACACATTAACTAATATTATGTGTCAACTAATGGGACCTTATCGTAAAGCATTACCCTTTTTTCAATAAAAAAATATACTGTAGAAGGCAACAGTCTAAATGACAATGACTACCACTGCATGAGCAAAAAAAAAAGAAAAAAAAAAAGACAGAGGCATTTGTACACATATCTGATGGCCGAATTTTCATTTTTGTTTGAACTTTCCTGCATGTTTTGGTAATTATAGTCTATACATATGTGAGGAGTTGCAAAAGGTTTTCCTCAGTTCTGTTTATCTGTTATCTGTTATATTTTCTAAATATCTTGCTAGCAGCCAAGGCCCAGTTCTTGCTGTTGTGATCTTTGTCTAATCTGTCGAGTGCAGATTGGAAGGCTTCTTCCTTTGGTGAGAGTGAAGTGTGTACTGAGGAGGTGCTGCCACTGTCCTAGTGTGAGGATTTCCACAGCTCTGCAGGCTGTCTTCCCATCTGTAGGTGTGTTTCAGAGAGATATCCTGTTTTGTGAGAAGTTTATAGTGGAGACACACAATAGGAAGTCCCTGTTTTCTTTCCCACTGTTTGTTTATTTATTCATTTAAGTACCTTCAGGTCTTAACTTTAGTCATGTTAATTAATTATGAAATATTCTACATTCATGTCTGCCATCTAGACTTTAACTGAACTGTTAATTATAATATTATGGCCATGTGTCTCATAGGCGACACATTTATGTAAAAGAGTCTTAAAAGGGGCAAAAGAGAGTTAGGTTTAACAGTCTAAGACTACATTGAAATTCTGCAATTAAAATCTATCTTAAACCTGGAAATAAACTGAAAGTTTAAAATTTTAAACGACACTGCACTGTTTTTAGGTCACCAAAAAGTAAGCAAATTTATGATGTTAATCGTGTGGATTCCTTTGTACAAAATGAATATCAGATTTCCTTGTTTTCATTGAAACATGCCAGCTGATCTCTGGAACACTATCAAACCATGATGGATAACATGATCATCAGGTTTTGCACAAACGTGGAGTTCATGTCGGCTCAAGTGCTGCTGTCATTAAAGAGGGACAGATACTAAAATGTTCTGATATTCATGTTCATTTTTTAGTTTAACTTTTCAGTCAAATTGTCTTGCTGACAGTATAAAATAATTGTATTAAATTAGAAGCTGCTAAATCATAGCATTTCACCAGTGGACTCAGACTTGGACTCCACTAGCCGGTTATCGGAGGCAGTACAATTAGTTAAAATGTGTCTCGGAGGAAGTGCAAACTCATGCACCACAAGTTCATCTGTTGGTGTTCAAGTTCATCACAAGTTCTATCTGTTTACCTGCCATTGACAAAATTATTATCATTTGATTATTTAGCTAAATACTTTAGGCCTGTCACAAGAATTTGTCTTTAAAATAATAGACACTATTTTAAAACATGACAAATGCCAATCATATATTTCACTTTACCTAACATACACAGCTTAATCCATAGGACTTACACAGCTGGGTACAGCAACTAAAAATAGCATGCAGAGGAAGTGGTTGTTGTTCCTGTTACAGTACTTAGAACTCAGAAGTGTGTCTAGTCCAGATGAACTCACTCTTTGAAAAGAACTGTCTGCATATGTCAGCTTTTAAAGTTGAGTGCTATAGGCAATGCAGGGCTGATCTTATGAGGAGTTCTGTGAGTTTTCATCCCCTGAGATGCTGAAAAGTCTGCAGCACTGAAGCTTGACTGAGTATGCAGTAATTATAGACAGGTACTACACACACATATACACAAACAGTTGCAAAGAAAGTCAGTGATCTTGCATAAGCCTGCCATCCATTCTCCCTCCATCACATAGCACACACACACACACACACACATACACACACACAC